TTTTCATCGCGGGGCTGGTGTTTTTCCTCCGTGAGCCCTTTCCTCCTCAACAGACCCGGCTTCCCATCTTCTCTCCGTTCCCCTCCAGCCTGTTCCTCTAACCCTGAATTCCGGTATGTTTCCAGAGAAGACACCCAGTGGCAAACATCTGGACCAGGGAATGAGCACTGTGCCAACTCTCAGGCTTCCCCAGGTACCTTGCCAGGGCCGAGAGTACAGGGTACACTGTGTCCTTTTATAACACAGGGAAAGGAAGCCCTTTCCCCTCAGCCTCCAGGTCGCTGGTCCCAGGACAGCTCCCAATGTGAACAGGAGGAGGCTGCAGCCCCCAGTGCTGTCGGCACAGGCTGCAGGCGGCATCTGGCCCCGCCAGGCTGCGGCTGCGTGGTGCAGCACATTCAGGTCATGCCCGATGCTGGCTTCTACTCCCAGCACTGAACGAGTGGAGGGGGGAGAAGGAGTGACGGGGGAGGGAGGAAGAGGCAGAGAAGAAGCGTGCAAGCAGGCAGACACTAGGCGTACTTAGTGTGGCACGGTCGTGTAAGGCGTGCAGGTATCAAGGGAGGGACAGAGGAAATTGCCTACCTCCCTTGACCTGGGGAAGGAGCTGCTTAGCCCCAGTGTCTCACCACCTATGCAGCTGAGGTGCAGCCTCCTTGCCTGTCCCCAGCTTCCTGCCTTCACCAAGGGCCGTCCTGACCTCACCAAGGGCCATCCTGACCTCACCAAGGGCCATCCTGACGTCACCAGGGGCCGTCCTGACCTCACCAGGGGCCATCCTGACCTCACCAGGGGCCATCCTGACCTCACCAGGGGCCATCCTGACGTCACCAGGGGCCATCCTGACCTCACCAGGGGCCATCCTGACCTCACCAGGGGCCTTCCTGACCTCACCAAGGGCCTTCCTGACCTCACCAAGGGCCATCTTGACCTCACCAAGGGCCTTCCTGACCTCACCAAGAGCTTTCCTGACCTCACCAGGGGCCATCCTGACCTCACCAGGGGCCATCCTGACCTCACCAGGGGCCATCCTGACCTCACCAAGGGCCTTCCTGACCTCACCAAGGGCCGTCCTGACCTCACCAAG